AAATGTGAAATATGCAGTTAGTTAAATTTCGGTTAAAGTTCCTTGGTTTTCAAAGAAAATATTAAACTTCATTATTAATTTCAATATTCACTTGGTGTTTCTTTTATCGCATTTAGTTGTCAGTTAAAATCAATGAATAGTACTTTATTCACCAGCATTATGCCACAAACATGATACATGTGATAATCCCATAAAATGCAGATTCTTACATGATCGCATTACAAGGAAAATAAAACATAGATACTTACGCTCACAAAGCTTGCATTGATATAGTCAGTTGAAAACTCATCATCATACACTGGTGTCATTAAACGAAGTCGACGACGATCAACTATTGAAATAAAAAAAAACATACATTGTATAACTTCCTTAACAAATGTATGTTATGGGATTAGAGGATATTCATTCTAAGTATAACTATTGAAAATGTCAGTGTTTGATATAGTATTTCATGTATGAGACAAAAGTTTGAAAATGGAGATGCCCAGCTGCCGTCGTTGTCAGGAAAACATTTAGTTTTGTAATGTAGCAAATTTCTGAAAATTTTGTTTGGCTGAATGACTAGCCTCAATTTACATAATAATAATGTAAAGTCCATCTTCAGTTTTTGTATATATTCTATTAGCTCTATTAAAAGATGATTTTCAAAAAAACTAACAAATACAAAGTAAAACAAAAATTGCATTTTTGTAGATTGATTCTTCAAAATATCACTTATTTTAACACATCATAATTTACATAAGTGCATACCCGAACAATAGCGCAAATACGGTAGTTATAGATTAGTTATAAAGCGCGCTTCACAAACTCACTATAATAACTATAGAAACATTTACCTATGTTGAACCTATAAAAACGATCAGATTAGACATGTTCAATATCAAATCAAAGAAATGTTAGAAGGAATTCTAGACAAATGAAGCAGAAATATCTTTGGAATAATTAAAAAAGAAACCTACTGTGAAAGCAATCTGATCCAATGTATTGAAGTTTAAAATAATAACACGTATTAAAGTAGAATGCTACATGTAGACACCATGAAGTGCGCTCTTTTCACAGGTTGATCAAGAACAGAAGAAATGTAATGACGTAATACATGTATCTGCATACATATTTTCTGGTAAACCTACAATTGTATAATTGACCTTTATCTAACAATGACTTTGTATAGAATATAGACAGTACTTACATGGTAAGATATTATTAAATCTATTCTTGTCAGAATTTTCTTCGAGTTTTCCTACTTCACATTCATCTGCTCTGGGTTTACGACTCACTTTGCCAAGATTCTACAAAACACAATGTAGGCCACCATTATTATAAACCTACATATATATATATGGGCCAGCTATCATGTTTTATAAAAATGTGAGTTGCGAGTGGGAATCAGCGCGATATGTTGATTGTTGACACAAAATTGAGGGTGATTTAGTAGCTTAACAACAATTATCCCAATGCTAGTGAAATACATTTTTTCAAATTATGTGCAAAAAATGAACGTGTTCCAGATTATCCATTGATAAAACATATCATGTTTTAAAGAGAACCCTTCCAGAACACTTGTACCTTGTTTACCTGGGGTATTTTGTACATACTTTAACTTGAGTATTTGTATATTGTTTACCTAGGGTATGCATAATGTTTACTTGGGATAGAAGTACATTGTTTATCTGAAGTAAATGTACATTGTCTACCTGGAGTATGTTTACATTGTTTACCTGTAGCAGGTGTACATTGTTACCTGGTGTTATCAGTAGTAGATGTACATTGTTAACCTAGGGATAGATTTATCTGGGGTAGATGTACAGTGTTTTCTTGGGTAGGTATACATATTTTACCAGTGGTGAGTGTACATAGATTAACTTTAGTTGGTTTACAGAGTTCACCCATGGTAGGGTACATATAGTTGAACTGGGATATGTGATATGTATTCGTGGTAGGTATACATACTTTACAGATGGTAGATGTAAATAGTTTATTTTGGAGAGACGTACATATAGTTTACTTCAGGCATGTGTGCGTATTTTACTTGAGGTAGATGTACAAAGTTTACCCGAGATAGGTTAACATAGTTTACCTAGAAAATAATACCTCTAAAGCCTCCATAATAAAAAACTGAACAATGTAGACATATAAATGCATTCAATCCATATAGCCACTTGGATCAATGAATGCAATAGCTGATTACCAAACACTTCAAATTAATAACTCAAAACAAACATCAAATATGTTTTTAAAGTAGCATTGACACCAGCAATATTTACTAACCTCCCATTGTACTTGCAGTTGTGATTTTTTGGTCTTTCTATCAACTGTCTGTAATTTACCATAAATCTGCCGGAAATCTGATGCTGGAATTGAAGTGTCTCCACATAGGGTAGCTTCCATTACAGCGGTGTGGATAAACTCATATTGCTCCTTGTAAACAAGAAATATAAATATCATTAGACAAGTAGTGTGTAGTGTATGATCTTATATATATAGTTAAAACAAATAATTATTGTACATGTAAAGTTATTACAAGGATACCACAAAGTATACACAAAGACAGTATACAAAGAATATGAATTCATGTTACACAAGTAGAGTTGAACTTTCTTGCATTATGATAATTTGTTTTGAATAATGCACAATCTCGAAAATAACACACTCATTCCACATTGGAAATTCACATTTCCTAATAAGGTAACAATGCAATAATCTATATTCATGCAGCCATCTCGGAAATGACTCAGTCACTCCTTATTTAGAATTCACATTTCTTGATTAGGTAAGGTTGTAATAATCGGTATTTTTAGTTTCATTGAGATCTAGATATAACAGATTGTACACAACTCTAATATTATCTTTTGTTTTTTTTGAAAACATAGGTGTGAATAATAGTGAATGATAGAGAGCGCAACATAACCTAGATGAATAATTAATACCAACTCAAAAAGGCATATAATAGAATAGACTGTCACAATTAGCTAAACGGGTCATAAGATACATTGCATCTGTCACAGTGATCCTGAATGTGAATATTGACGATATAATACAAACTACTTTCACGAAATTGGGAGTTGACTACTCAGTGCCTGGAACACATATCTGTTAAGTTAGGATAAATAGTTGCATGTGATTGTAAAACAGAATCCTATCACGATGGTAAATTGAAGGTATGGAATTTTTGACTAATACAGTGGACCAGTGACATTGTAATTCACACCACATTTCTCTCCATAGTATCTGTATTATAACATATTACAATAGAACAGGATGCAAATTAATATATTAGCATACACTTACCACACAATCAAAACAAGGAAAGAATAGAGTTGATATATTATGCTTTTTGACTGTATGGCTAATTGTTGTACATGTACATGTATGAAAGTCAAACTTGATAAACACTAACCGTGTACCTTAGATTATCTCTAGCAATGATAAGAAGTGCCACACATACACAAGTTTCATACCATTTATGTTTGAAATTAAGCTTATATTTACAAATTACTTATTTTAATCCAACATTTCTGAATAGAATTTAGTGAAAACTAATTGGTTTTGAAATGGTGGATATTTACAGTGACCCCTTGATCAACTTTTCTTCTATTGCAGATACCAGACTAGCTGAATTTGTTTTTTTTTGGTACATTCAATCAAATATTATTTTATAAATTAGCTATATTAGAATACAAATGTCTGTGATTGAAACCGCAAGTATAACATATACAATGTGAGCTGTACCTTGTATGAATTTACACACATGACAACTAGCCACACATTCACTAATTACCTCATATAAAGCGAAATACCTGATGTGATCTCAATTAGATGATTGTAGGCATTACTAACGTCCTTATACAACGACTGTCCACTCAAGTCAGTGAAAATAGAATGATATAAAGCAGTAAGTAAAGCAGAATATTCATTACTGCATTATTTGCAAGAAGCGAAAGGAATCATTAAAAAGAATAGTGTCATAGAATTATGCAGTTAAAGTAAGTCAATACGGCGGATAAAAAATAACCTATACGTGTACATTATATATCCCCACACATACTTGCTCCTACTTGAATATGTACAATAC